GTACTGGCCATTTATTTCCCTTGGTCAAAACCTGCACAAGCTTCTGTGCGAGTGTGTTCCATTAGCAAATCTTATTTATATATGAATATCCGTGTTTTCACATAGAAAAATTGACCAGACTTTTTCATGCTTTCAGATGGACATTCGTGTCCGCCTTCGCCCATGGCTCGAAAGTCGGTTAAACGAGGGCTGGATCGAGGGGTTAAACTGGATCGACCATGAGAAGGGAATTTTTCGCATCCCATGGAAACACCATAGTAAACACACATGGACTGAACAAGATGCTACAATTTTCAAGGATTGGGCCGTTGTCACTGGCCGTTATCGCGAAGGCATTGATGATCCTGATTGGCCAATGTGGAAAACGCGTTTGCGATGTGCCCTGAACAAGGCGCCTGACATCCAAGAGGTCAAACAACGGCACAACCTACACTGTGATGAACCTTTTAAGGTCTACCGTTTCATTAGCAAGACGGAATCTCTCTGGCGGGCGAATGCGTCCAGAAATGCCAGCATGATTTTTGATGGCATTCCGGCTATGGCAAACCCCCCGCCCCTCCATTTGTCCTCTGTAGTCCGTCGCAGTGTGCAACCGACTACTCTTCTGGGAGGGAAAAGACCTGCATTTTTTATTAGAAGACTTGTCAGACCTACAAACGGCTGTAGACCAATAGCTGTGGTAAACTGCTCATTTATTTTTTAACTGTCTTTTTTAGCTACGCCGAGCTCATGACCAGTTATTTCTAAAAAAACTCAGTTTGCGTGCACAAGCCCAACCAACACCAGTTGAACAATCGCCAGAATTTAGTATCTCCGAGACTGCCGACTCCTTGGATGTCGGCGCGGTCCAAGAAATAACTGGTTTTTCTGAGGAGTCGACTGCTTTAAGTAGACCAAGCTGGCAACAATACGCTAACCACGGGGTTCAGCCGATTCCTTTCTTGCGGAAAGTTGGCCCAGTGCCTGGTGCCACGTATCAGGGCCCCGGCTATGATCAAGCAAATGGAAATTCCCAGTCATTTCTGCCCTTCCTTCCTGACGTCATGGAACCGGAGTTTCATCAGTTAGGCGTACGAATTCAACACTTGAACATCCGAGTCAAAGACTCCATAGTAACCAACCCTAATGGCTGCTGCATTTACTTCGGACGATACGATGAGGTAGACCTTGCAGTCTTGATCTATTCTCCTTTTTTTCCAGACAAATTCTTCAGCTGTTCCTGACGCTATTGAAGCCCAAATTATTCGTCACGTGTCTGACGCTAACCGTTCTTATGTCAATCTCCTGCTTGACAATATGTACCGGGGTGTCATTGTCACTTCTTCCCGTGGAAGCATTTACATTGAGCGGCTCTGCAAATGTGCTGTTTTTGTCTATGCGCACAGCGGGGATGATTATATTTTTTTGAAAAACCTCAGCAGGAAGGAGTGTGCAAAGGTTTTTGACTACTCGCAGTTTATGATGGATCTGGAGTATCATCGC